AAAGAAGAAAATCTCTCCCACAAAGTCTCTCGCCGATCCATGCAATGCTAGAACATCTCCTTACAAATTCTCTCAAAATCTTCTCTCCAATCTCTCCAAAATGGTAGAAATCTACATTTCTACTCCTATTCTAAAAACCCTAAATTTTCTCCACACTTTTCCTAACATTCCTCTCACATATAAAACCCACTTTTTCTAACTTAAATTCGTTCTTTTAAAGTGTAGGGACGAAGTTTGAAGATTTGTTATAAGAGTCCTTTCGAAAAGCGTCCAAATATGTTGAATTTCGGCCCATAACCGCCAAAAGTCGATCGGGCGTAGTCGGTGGGCTCGGGGGAGCCGTTGGCGAGCGTTTCTGTCATTTTTTGGTCTTCTTGGGTAAATCTCGCCGCGGAGCCATTTTGGGCGTCGTCGGCGAGCAGACTGCGCAGCTCCACCGTTTCGCTCCGTTTGGCTCCGTTTTAGCTCTGTTTCACCCCATTTCAGTTGCATTGTGTTCCTAACAGATAACCCTACAAAATAAGTTTGAAAAAAACCTTCCTTTAAAGTGTAATCTCATTCAAAAATATGCAAGAAGTGCAAAAGAGATTAAGCATCGAAAGACTTATCGAAAGGTGACAGGGCAAAATTTCATTTCTTGCTCGTTTTTGCTCCAAATTGCACCATTTTTGCATTTTTTTGCTCCAATGACCATAATTCATCATATCTGCAACAAAACATCAAAAATACCCTTCTTTAAAGTGTAAAATCGTCAAAAACAGTGTAAAATATGTATGAAAATCTCAACATATTTTCTTTTGGTCACTAGTCCATCAATGTTTCGGCTAGCTTCTGTCGCTCCACCATGAGATCACTGATAATGATATGGTGTTTAAGGCCAGCGAACTGCTTAACAAAGAGGTCTTCCAATTCTGTAAATGTTTTCACTGAGCCATTGGGTAGTTAAAAGTGATTCTCGAAAGACTGCTTACAAATTGACGACACAACAAAGCATCACTACCCCTCGCGTTGCAACATTTTGCTCGGAAGTGTGCAACATGCTGTCGGGGGTTTCCCGTTCCATCAAATGTCTTGAACGACGGTGGTACGAAACCCTTGAAGTATTGAACATCATCAAATTCTTTAAGATAGGGTCTACCTTTTAGGATCAATGCCCCTTCTTTTGGTTGAGTCAGGGCTTCTCTCACCTGTTGTTCCACCATTTGTTTAATGTGTTTTTCTGGTATCATGCTCTGGACAGAATCCTTCTTCTGATGTTGGTATTTGTCAGCGGAAGTAAGTTCTTTTCTTTCATCTGTAATATAAACAATTTCTGGCTGACTTGCTTTTGGAGCTGTCATTCGTGGTGACTGTGACTGTCCTTGAATGGATGGTGGTCGTGGTCATCGCGGTCATCATTTCTTCTAGTTGTTTCTTCATCTGGTTGATTTGTTCATCACGTTGTTGAATGACTCTTTGCAACTCATCCGTGGTGTTATCCTCAGTAGGTAAAGGAGCATCGCGCGAGGGTGAAGTGGCTCTGGCCTCAACAATGTTGATTTCTGCAAATTCCTCTATCATATAATCTGACAGATCGTAGGGTTCATCGTTTATATCTTTTCTTCGTTCTTCACACAACTGTGTAGCAATGTCGGCTCGAAGCTTTTCCAACGTAGCCTCGATCGACCTTCCTTTGTCAAATTTAAGGTCAATTGGAGATTTTTAATGAGTTTCATCTATATTGTTGAGCACTGGTATAGTCGTGTAGGAGTCAATTGGAATAATTAGATCAACCGAAATCATGTTGATGTAACATCTTTCAGGTTTTGTCAAATATTCTTTCGGAATCGTTATCTTCCCGTTTTTGAAATTCTTCTCGAGACATTCTTTGAAGCTGATACAGTTCTCTATAGTATGTCCGAGCAGTCTGTGGTAGGGACAGTAGTTGGGATGGTCTTTCTTGTCAACTTCCTCCGGCCTCTTTGGCTCTCATAATCTGAATTTGGGATTTTTAATGAAATCCTGGAACATCTTTGCAACAACTTCTTTTCTGAAAAAATATAATTTGTTCAATTGCTTAGCCACAAATGGACCCTGTATTTCATCCATCTGGCATGGCCTATGCTGGGATGACTGTTGACTGTGTTGTTGGTTGCATTGTTGGCTATGTTGTAGATCGTACTGCTGCAGATATTGTTGGTTGTACTGTTGCAGATATTGGTAGATCTGTTAAGGCTGCTCGACCTAAATTTGTACTAACTGCTTGTCTTTATCCACCGTTGTTACTCTCTCAGATTTCTGTTTGAATGTCATTGCTGGCTTTGGACTATTATGGAGAGATGACAACAGTATTGTGGTAGCAACCCCATAGACTCCATTCTCTCTATAGGTAGAAGGCAACTGGTGAAACTTACTCCTCATGAGTAGAGGTAAAGTCTCACGTAATCCTGTCTCATCCAATTGGGGGTCGGTAGGGCGGTGTCAGTACCAGCCAAATCTGTGGCTTTCACCTTCTTGGCCCTTAGAATTTTCTGGTTGCGCCTCATTTCCTGTGTCTTGGTCAGTCGCACGAACTTTGAGTTGAACCCAATCTCGAATATGAAAAACGGCTGGGCAAAAGCATTGACTGACACTTCTTCGTATAGAATCTCCTTCTCTTTGTTTAATGGAACAGTTGGTGTAGTAGCAGTGAATCCGGTGGCAGAAGCAGAAAAAGTCTTGGGAGCGGTCCCTACGCTCCTAGTGGCAGACTTTATAGCAACAGCAAGGTTCTTTTCAATCAATACTCTTTTCAGAGGGGGGAATTTCTTAGCAGACTTCAGGTTGAACTCCACAACAAGCTCGGTGGCTCTGTCCGTTTCAGACTTCATCATTGCGACAGAGACATTCCCAAGTTTGGCTTCAATATCGCCGAATTCTTGTCCAAACTTAATGACCGCCAAGTCAGGCAGCTCGCTTTTGCTAATAGCAAACTTCATTCCGATGGCGAAAGAAAAGATCAACTTTGGTGAAGACATTGTCCCTTTCATTTGAAAAAAATTTCCGGAAGTCAGTGACGTCCAATGCCTTGTAATTTCAACGAAAGTTGACGTCCAATGCCTTGTAATTGTTAACGCACGGCTCAAGTTAACGCACGTGTCTTATGAACTGGGTATCCTTTGAAATTTATTCATGTGAATCTTGTCTCAAATTTTGTGATTTGTCTCGCTTTGAAAATTTGATGAAATTCTGTTTTGTTTGGAGTTTAAATGGAAGATTGTGAGAGTGAAATTTTAGTGTTAACTCGTTCACAACAAGTCAAGATCGAAGAGGAATAAAGCATAGGAGCCGGTCCGAGATTTGAAAGGGGTAACTTTACATCGGACTCGCTTCAATAGACCACTTCTAATCTACCACACATATTGGTCCCACTAAAACCTAGGGATTCCTAAACCCCTCTGCTTAAGGATGGTTAAGCAGATGGTCCTGAAATCCAAGAAGAGTTGACCATACTGACTCAAGAAAGAAATGAGAACAGTATGTCAACGGAAGAACAACAGTCTGGCCCACGATGGGCATGGACACACTGCCGATGTATGAAGACAAAACCACTTGATCAAAATGGATAAAGGAACTAGTCCCTAGCGGAGTCGTCAGAATTTGTCGGTCAACTTTTCAATGATTTGAAAATATGAAAATAAAAATAATGTCTGAGATTTAATTTAATAAAAGAGACATATTTTTGGTTTTAAAAGTAGTATGTTTTAATTTAAAGTAGTATGATGTTTTAATTTTGAAAAAGAAATGAGACCAAATGGATCTCATTCGTCCAATAGTTTGCATAATCGTGCCCAATACCGTGAATATTACACTCTCCCAAAAGATAAGTGTATACATCGGCGATAGACCCAATCCTGCAAACTAAGAGATTTGTGACATTCATTTGATCTGCGAACATTTCGCGAACCTTTTATATATGACCGACAAATTCCCCTATTTAATACAAAGATTAAATAGGGTTTGTTTTACCTGGGTTACAAGTTCCCTATAGAGGCAAGCCCCTATAGTTAATTACATCTCAAATGACGGAAGTCATGTGAAAAAACTCTCGATAATGATCAGTGGTTGTAGTCTTCAAGAATTCAAAATTTATGTTTTCACGGTAGGACATGAAAAAATAAGTGGGAGTAGCTCAAGTAGGAACAGTTCTTTCAGGAGTTCAATGGAAGTAAAGGGTAGGGGGCGTCACAAATTTTGAGGAGGAACCTCAGTGACTTCCCAAACTATTCTACTGTGTGACTGTGTTTTGGAGAAGATGTTATTTAGGTCTTTTAATCCTGCCAATTTTATTATATGGGACTTACACTTGCACATAGTCCACAGAGACAAGAGGGTTTACATTGTGTCACACTTAACACGACAATTTCGGAACCTAAGGCAGGTTAGTGCTTACGCTACACAACATGATTGTACAGGAGCCTAAAAAGGAAGTGTGAGGATTTACGTCACGCTGGGTAAACTACCTCGAAGTCCTATGGGTTGTTATTATGCTAGGAAGAGATAATGTTGAAGAAGATCCTCTTGTTGCTCACTTCAAGCTCCTCGTCGCGTTGCCCACAAAGTTGGCTCCAAACTTCTGTTGCAGTGATCCCTCCAGGGTTTAAGCGTTCGAGATTGATGATTTGTGTTTCCCAATTTTGGTGTCAAAGTTTGGTTTTGCATGCAAAATAATCAAATTACAGATAAATAAAAGGTACTTGAAATGTAAAATGCAGTAAAGTAAAATGCTGTAGATAAACTGTAAAAGCGTACCTGGTAAAAGCGTACCTGGAAAAGCGTACCTGGGCATCTGCTATTGTTGTGTTATTAGTGTTGCGAGCATAGTATGATTTGCAGCAGATTTAAATAAACTTGCAAGAAAATCAAACAAGGCGAGAAAACCCAACATGAAAGTCAAAAACATGAGTAATAAAAATCACGAGCAAAACAAACCTTTAGCCACACATGAAAGATCAGGACTGGGTATAAGACATTGGTAAAAGTGGGGGCTCAGAACTGGGCTGTGTGCTTCCCGATCTTGGGTAAGAGTTGTCATCCCGATAATCTACAGAAGGCAGTCCTTAACCTCGATCCAAATGACTAACCATGGGCTTTTATAAATTTTTATAAAAAAATTCTTTGATTTTCATCCAAAAGCTGTTGTTTAAAACTTTTTTATGCACAGTTCTTTTTAACTTGCAAAAGAGATTTTTGTTTGATTTTTGTAAAAAATATTTTTTTTTAAAGTCGTGTAGTTCATAGGCTAGTCACTCTAATCGTGTTAGAACTACTAACAACCTAAGAGGGTCGGGAGCAACGCTCCCACCAATAATTGGTGAATAGTATCATTGAGTGAATAGTATCATTGATCAAGTATCATTGATCATTTCCTCTCTCTTATTGAAGATCCTTGAGGTAGGAGATACTATTCTAATAATCTCACTTTGTATCCCTCGTTTAAGCACACATAAGCAATGTCATCATCACCCTCGCCATCTAGACCATAGACTTATCTTAGTCCGGTGATCCGTATGTGTCATTAACAAATTTTCTCATTTGCTAGGAGGATTTGAGTGTAATATTCAAGCTCAATTTTCGGTGCACTGGGTTTTACTGTATGTTAAGTCATTGCGGGAATTTCACTGTTAATTTAATTAAGGAAGCATGAACTATGTCTCAGTGCATCCTTATGTCTGGTGTCTTAATCAGTTTGTGAATCAGACTCAAGTGACTAGTTTCAATATTCATTCAAAAATTAGGTGGATGAACGCTCACCTAGAGTGTGTTCCTAAAATCTAGGAAGTCTATACTGAGAATTAGGTGGATGAACTCTCGCCTAGGGTGTGCTCCTAAAATCTAGGAAGTCTATGCTGAGAATTAGGTAGATGGACTCTCACTTAGGGTGTGCTCCTAAAACCTAGGAAGCCAATGCTGAGAATTAGGTGAATGGACTCTCACCTAGCCTATGCTGAGAATTAGGTGGATGGACTCTCACCTAGGGTATGCTCCTAAATCTAGGAAGTCTATGCTTTAACTTGTGTTTAAAGTGATTCAAGGTATTTCATCCTCACTTAAGTGTTTTCCAACTAATTTTCAAATATTTATAAGTGTTCTCCAAATAATTAAATCATAAAATCTCACTTTTCGACTTAATCATGTAACAAAAGTAACAAAACAAACGAAAAGAGAAGATTGACCCACTTCCAAAACTAACAAATCAAATGGGGAAATAACAAGTGAATCAACCTAAAAGCGTTAAAAGTCTTTCAACAACTGTAATTAAATAAACTCTCGAGAAAAGTGCTTAAATATGTTCCAAAATAGATTTTTTATCTGCCTAAATATTCTACAATTCGGAGTAAAATAATAATAATAATAATAATAATAAAGCTCCAAAGCCAGACCAACCCACATGAAATATGCAGAGAACTAATTGATATAACAAAAGTTTGAGAACAGTAGTAGTAGCATGCAATAAGCTCAAAAAGTTTCAAGCTCAAAATAAGCTCAAAAAGTTTCAATTGTTAGAACCAAATGCTTCGATAAAAAGTTTGTGGTGAACTGAAAGGAATAATTGAAGTAGAAGATCAGGGAGTTCGAACCTGCGCGTCGAAGTGTGGCAGACGATCGACACGGAGAGATTCGAAAGAGAAAAAAGGTGTTCTATCGAGAGCAGGGGGAGGCGAATCAGATGTCTACGGGAAGGCTAAGCGGCTTCGTGCAGAGAAGAAGCCAGCAACTTCGGTGCGGATGAGAGGCGAACGGAGCTTCAATCGAGACAGAATAGGCGAGCGGGAAGGAAGTCGACGGCGGTGAGCGGGAGAGAGGAGCTGTCAAGTGCGAGTGGGATCTCTCGAGAGCGGGACTCCGAGCGAAGAAGCAGGCGCAAGGAGGAGGGCGAGCGGGAGAAAGGAGCTGTCACAAGAGCAGGGGGAGAGCGGGATCGGGCGATTTCGGTGCGGGAGAAGGAACGGTGAGCGAGATTGTCGTGAGCTAGAGATAGGCGAGCGAAGCTTCGGTACAGGGAGTATGCGAACTTCGGTGCAGGGAATAGGCGAGCGACTTTGATGCGGGAGATCGGGAGAGATGAAGTTGGCGGATGGGTTCAATGCAGGAGAGAGGGGTTCGGTGAGAAGAAGAGGAAACAAGGAAGGCGAAGTTCTCGGTGCCGAGGGAGAGCTCGGAATCTCGTTCTGAGGACGGGGTCGGGGAGATGAGACGATGATTTCGGTCTGTGAAGGAGGAGGGCGAGCGAGAGAGAGGAGCTGTCGAGCGCAGATGGAGAGCGGAATCGAGCAGGAGAAGGCTGTCGAGCGAAGGTAGATGAGCAAGAGCTCGGGAGAGGCAAAGGAGGAAGATCCCGGAGGAAGAAGGCGATCATTCCTTTTAGAATTGGAGCAGAAGAGCAGTTACTCTGAAAGCGGGGAAATAAATTATTTTCATTGATGAAGCAGATTCATAAGGAAAATGTTTAACTTTTAATTAAAACGAGATTAAATGTCTATTCGAAGTTTGAAATTTTGAAATTCAAAATTATTTAACCCTTGTTCAGCCCAAATCGAACCCGAGTTGAACCTGGGTGGAGTCCGGGCCCGCGCCCCGCTAATTAAAAAAAACATTTTTGTGTTAATTGTGCGTGTGTAACCCTTGCAATATGGGTGTCCTTCATTGCTAAAGTTGACGTTCAGGAATCGTCGGTGCGGTCCATTTCGTCATCCGGGGTCGTCTGGACAAACTCACCGGTGGGCAAGTCAAATCAAGTCAAAGTCGTGTGTGGTGCAGTGAGTGCGTGAATTGCGGCATTCGCGAGTATTTGAGTCACAAAGGGTTCACATAAGGCCATTTGATCCTATAGAAACTGATTTTCAGGCCTTCTACATGTTAGTCCTTAGTCCTTGCAACTAGAAATTGAGTGATTGGAACCACTCATGTGAGTTCTTCACAAAAATGAGACAAGAAGTGGTTTGAAGTTCTACAGGAGGTGGGCTCCATTGGTGGGCTCCATTGCTAGTCCAACTAGGATGGTCAATAAGAACTCCTAAGGCTAGATTTTGGGCTCTGAGAGTAAAAAACTAAAACCTCACTAAAAATGAAGTCAACAATCCTCTATTTGGTTCTCCATGGAAGAAAACATATACTCTGATGGTAAACCTTTCTTACATCCCAAACCTGATTTGTCTGATATCTTCCTCTAATTTCTTCTCCAAATCATCTACTTTTTTGGCTATCATTCTTCCCAAATTTTTTTTAATCACAAAAAAAAAATTTATATGCTTAAATATGTCGTCTACTTCCGAATGAGACAAATCAAGCGACAATCACTCCAATCTTGTCATGGCTTCCCAAGTAGCTCCAATCGCGAATATCTAGTAGCAACATTCTTGTCTTCCCAACTAGCTTGGAATCATGACTGCTGCGAGAGAGAAGAGTTGGAACAGGAGAAAGATGGGAGTTACGAAACGAGAATAGAAGAAATCTGGGATTTTCGCATCTTTGTACACCGCTTCCCAGTCGTTGTCTTCCCAAGTAGCTCTGATAGCGACTATACCGGGTAGATAGCCCGGGCAGAAAAAAAAGGGCATTTTGGGTCTCTGTACGTTGGTTCTCAGTCGTTGCAGTCCAAAATAGCTCTGATCGCAATTGTATCAAGTAAACGACAAGAAAACAGGAGAGATATGAGTTACGGATCTCAAGTATGGGGAAGTCTTTTTCTCCACATGATCGGGAGGGAGGATATTGTTGTAAAAAAAATAAATAAAACTACATGCAGTTAAAAGCATCTGGAACTGGCCTCTCCATTCGATTTTTTTTCTTCTGCTCTCTGGTGCACTTCGCAAACACAACATGCCGGAGCGACTTCATGGCATTTGACAATAGTAATTCTTCTCGCGACTTCAAGGGTTTCAATGCAACAACGTAAAAGGAATTAGGAGTTAGAAAATTTCATTTTTCTTGGACTTAATGAGATTACCAAACCTTTTGTGTTTGATGGAATTGATATATACCGCCTATTTGGTGATGATTGATTATTGATTTCCTCTATAAGTGATCTAGAGAATAGCTTTGTGTACCCATTAAGTTGATTAGTGGAGGTGTTTAAGTAGCCTAGGGGTCCCGTGATTTTTACCCTTTTAGGGGTTTTCCACATAAAAATTTGGTGTTGTTTTATTTTGTTATTTGTTTTATCATTTTCGTTGTGCGCGCTTGTGGTGTAGCGGACTTTTGACTTGCTTTTTACAGCAAATATTGAAATAAAATACTAAATTAATTTGACATATGTTAATTTAAACTGCTATTTGTTGAATATAAGAAGAGTTGCTCGCAAAATATCAAAATATTACACTATACAATGTTTAACAATGAAAATCATTCAACTAAAAACAAAAGAATCCGAGAATAGTCTAGAGTAACTGCACAAAATAAAATATTTCAAACCTGAGGCCTATCAAAAACTCACCAGAATGGTATGGTTTTAACTTGTTGGAAAAGCATAAACTTCTTCATTAAAAAATTATGGATGTTTTATGCGTTGAGAAAGAAAAGAGGGATTTTTAAACCACAACAGATCACTAGTGACATATCTATTCAAGAATACAGTCAGAATAAATATTAGCGTTCATGTTCATTGAGAAGTACGATTTTGTGTGAACCATAGTGAAGTCAAAACAAGTTTCAGAATTTTGCAGTTGACATACTACATGCACATAAGTAGGTTTAAAACGTAAGAAAAAATAAATATAATTACTCCGGCATTTTTGCCACCGTTTGAAGGAAGACCATATGGGTATATTCCGATGGAATGCCACAATGTAAGCTTAATTTAGCAACCTACAAATTAGAAAGTTGAATAGTTACAATCTTTATGAAAATGATTTTAAAAAAAGGTTGTAGGTATAAGCTTATAAAAATCAAAAAAGGGTTTCATGATCTATAAGTGGAATGACAATATGCCTCAATGTGGGAACTGATCAATCAGCATTTATCTTAGATAATATGATCAGAAAGAACGTCATTGACTGGTGAGAAAAGGTCGGAAATAACTATGGTTCTTCCTGCTTCAAAGCCCATAGACAATTGAACAGAGAATAAAAAGGGAAGTGATCGTATTCATCATTCAATAATTTTTGTTACCTGTTTGAATGATTATTATTTAGTGTTGAATAATTATTAAACCAAATCTTCATAAATTCTCCTAGAACTTCTATTCATGTTATATTAAAACTATTGCTTTCCCTTCCTCATCTGTCTAACTATTTCATGTCAGCGTTTTCTAATATCTGTTTTATTTATTATCTTTTCTACTTTCTTACCTTTTAGCATTAATTATCTATCCCGTTAATAATTACAGTTTCTACTCATTGTTAAACATATGTAGAGCAACCAAGAATTTTGAACTATCTTATCCTCATTAAATGCTATTCCAACTTAACATTTTGAATGTTGTGTTACCTAAACAACCATTTAACAGCTTTTTTATTTACACTCAGATACATATAACCAAGGTTTAAAAATGAAAAATTGAATTAAGGCATTTAACCTAATCAAGATGAGACGTAAGTAAGATGAATCAAGGTGGAAACCTCAAATTAAAAAATAAAAATAATAATAATAATAAACTAAACAAGTAACAAATGCGTCATGAACAATCAACAAATAATTAAAATAAATAAATAAATGCATAAACCCTAAAGAAACAGAAAAACAAACCAATTAAAACAAAAGAAAAAGAAAACTCAATTGAACAGATAATAAAAAAAAATTTAAAAATGTAAAAAATTTTGAAGAGAACTTAAAAACAAAAAGAAGAAATGAAAGAAAAAAGGTCAAAAGAAAAGTAAAAAAACAGATTGATAACAAAAACAAAAACAAACTAACTAAAAAACAGAAAAACTGTAATAAAAAATGGTTTTAAAAAATACCTAAATAAACCCTATAATTTGTAACTTGAAAGTATATTTGTTTAAAATAAATGTTAATTCGAAGCATCCACCTTATTTAACATGAGGCATCCTTCAGTGAAAAAAGTGTTAGCCTCGCAAAGGCTAAAAAAATCATATGCCTCAAAGCAGTTGTTAAGCTCCTCACAGTGAGAAACACCTCGAAGCCGACACCACAAGTACCTTCTTAAACAAGAGTTTGAGGATAAGTAAAATGTGTAGAATAAAATTTTTATTAATACAACAAAGATTTTAGAAATTACCAAGAAAATTGGAACATTAAGTGTACTTACTAAAAGAAAGACAATGAAACATCTTCATATTCGATAAAAAGTGAAAACATCAACAAAAAAAAAAAAAACTTTAAAAGGATAGTCTTTTTGCATTTCTAGGTCAGCTACATATTCATTTTTCTCCATTGCGTCCAATTGAATGTCATACTTTCATATAATTCTAATAAATTAAGATCAATTTTTATACAATATGCCCAAATCTTTCTAGGTCTATCTCTGTCTTCCTTAACATAAGTCGAATATAAAACGTCTACTTTTCTAATTAAATCATCAGATGGTCGACATTTAATGTGACCAAACCATCAAAGACGATTCTCTCTAATTTTGCCAGCCAAAAGAGCTACACCAACCCTATTAGGGATATCATACTGATCACATTCCTACATGCAACTATTCTCCAACAATATAGCTAACAAATCATATCAAGCCTAAGTATGATAGATTTAAGAATTTTTAATACATTCTAAAAAAGAAGAAATAATTAAGGATGCAATTTCTAGGATTAAATTTCCGTAACTAATAGTAAAAAAAAAAGTACTTAAGATTATGTCCATTAAAAGAATATCAAAAAGTGTTAAAAGTAGATTTCTTAGAGATTAACTTTAAGAGTGTTGAAGGGAGAGTAAATTGAGTGCTGCAGAAATGTAAGTATAGATGATGAGCAATAACAAGAGAAAAATAGGATAAAAATTAACTAAATTAGAAAGATCGGAGTAGCGCCTACTATAAAAGATTATGAAAAATAGATTTAAGCGGCTTTGACAAAAGAAAAGGAGGTTAGAAGACGCACAAATATAAGAAATAAATATAACATAACTAGAACAAAAAGGTGCAGATTAGAAAACATCACTTGGCAAGGAGTTGTGAAAATATGCGTGCAAAAAAAGCCAACACCTCATGCAGCATTCAACCAGAATGAATGGAAAATGAGAATTCATAAAACCCTGTCAAGCTAGAAGGCATTATCAAATTCAGATAACAGCTAAACCACATTATAAGTAGTACAGAGAAGTAGTTCTACAAACATTGTGAACCCACTAACCTTTTCCTCAAGTTGCTTGCTTTCAGCAAACCATGCCTGAGCTGTAAGAAGATCAATTTGTTGCTTAGAAAATACCTGAATCAAAGAAATAATAGAAATAGCATGCTCAACAATTTTATAAGATGATTTGCGGATATTGTTACAATCATTTTAATGACATTAAGAAGTATAATCCTAAATTCCTTCGTTACAAAGCAAAAATGATATTAACTGCAGAAAAAGATTCGCATCATGAAGTAAAGACAACTCTTGAAATTTATACCCCAGATAGAACTGATAAATATTGGTGGAAAGTCAACCCATTAAATCCTAAATATGATTATTCTGTAAATTCAACACTAACCTTCATTTATAACTATTAAAACATGAAACGTACATTAATAAAGTTGTCATCGTCCTTAACATCAGAACCAGCCATATCCAACTATTTGAACGAAGAACAGTGACATTAACTCTAATTAAATGGAAGCTACTCAATTTAGGGTGATAAATCTTATACTTCTTAGTAGCCATACACTGTCTGACAAATGGACGACCACCAGTAACAGGGGAAATGAATTTGATGAGAAATGAAGTATACAACTTAGTTGGAATAAAACTGATGTTGATGATGTGAGGAATCATATTCAGAAGGACGTACATGATGACAAGTGACGCAGCGGAAGCAGAGATTATGGACTTTTAATACTAGATTGCATAGAAAGAAAGAATCCCATGTAGAAGATCTACTCAAAATAGCAAGTTTCAATGATTTCCAGCGGTAGAAACCTTCCAAAATTCCACTTGCAGAATTTCATATAGACCCGGCAAAATAGGAATATATAGAGGCAGCCAAAAACAGTGAGCAAATGTAGCTGAAGGCAAGAGAAGTAAGCAGATAGCGGCAGTAGAAGTAGCAAGAGATATAAAGGCAATAAAAATGGAATAATAGGAATTCAGCAATCAACTGAAGTAATGAAGGGAATAGTAGGAAAGCAGTGACAAAATAATTGGAAAATAGAGGGATCAACGGCTGAAAACATAGAGACAACAGCGACATAGTGGAAATGTGGCATTAATGACTGTAAATATCATTAACAATGAGTAGTAACTAGAAAGTCATATTATGTTTAATATATATAAATATCATCACAGGTCATCTGAAAATTAAGTAAAAATTTGGATTTTGTATAAATTTAAAAAATATGTAAATTTTAACAAATGCCCTTATTTTTAGCTTCAACTATTAACTTAAACTTTGATTTATGTTACTTTTAACAGCATGACCATTTTGGCTCTTTGTTTAAGAGACCGGAAATTAAATAAAAGATTTTATATAGTCATATACTAAAATGACCCCACAAATAGTTGGGGGGCCATTTTGATCAATTCTCTCTTTCAAAAAATGCCTCTTGGACCTTCATAACCAGCAAGAAACTAACGCAGGTAAACACTGAACAGCAGGTGTGTTACAAGTTATGAGACTAATTTGACATATAAATTTTAAAAGATGTTTCGCGAAATGAATTTTCGGAGAAAATCTTGAGCCTTACTGAAAAAAATACAACAAATAAGGGCTTATATTTTCAACTAGCGCAATTGGTAGAGTTACTCTTCAAGTGCATCTACCAAAGAAGGGTGTTTAAGTTTTTCTACACTAATCTAGTGCTTGATACCAGCTTCCCTACCTTGTACATATCAATCCATCATAGACCCATACAAACACGTAGAGACAGGCTTATGCAGGCAAGCATCCTATATGTTCAGTCAAGCAAGGAAAAAACTATCTTAAGATAATCATTTGAATCTAATAAATTGTAGTTCACGATTCATTTTGAGTTTGATAATAGTATATCAATAATCAAATCGCACTTCAGTCATTTCCTGTATGGATACCTTAAAATATTGTATTTAATATTTTAAACAATAAAGATTAAACAAAAAAAATTAACTGATATATATATCAATAGATAATACTAAAATCACTAATTGTCATATGCTTATGAAACCAAAAATGGATAGTTCGTTTCACTGCAAAGGTCTAAAGTAATTAGCTCTCATTTCTTGAAATAAAGTATTTGATTGGTTGGAAACTAAATAGAACTGAATTCTCATCTTGACGCTCAACATCAACAAAGTAAAGTTTTAATCTTAAGGGCTAGGAAGTCACTTTCATTATTTAATAATAACAAAATAATAATAATAATAAATTACAAGATGGTGGATTAGGAAATTACTTCTACCTATAAAATTAAAATAATGATAATTTTATGTGAGAATGTGTAAAAATACAATTCCCTGCAACCTAAATGTACACATAAACTGTCACAAGAAGTTAATTCCAGAAATCAAACAAATAACACTACAATTCAACATGCTCAATCTGAAACTAAGATCCAAAGACTTAACAATGAAATAAACTTTGCCCTACAAACTTCAAAAACTGAAGAAAAACCATGCATTAAGTTGCATGGACATAACAGCTCAACATTACAGTTTCAAATAAAAATGCTTAAACATGATTTATGTTTAAATAAATTTTGATAGAATTTAATAATAGCATCAACAACTTACTCTTTCTAAAGGGATGTTTCCCATATGCTGCACCTTCAGACTGATAACAATGTCACTCGCGTCAGCTAACCTACCTTCAACATTAACGGTGTCTGGAAACTTACCCTGGTACTTGCCTGATATGATCAATGGGCATTCAACTAGAAGATCTGGAATATTGCTAGGTAAAACCTAGAAGAAACTACAAAATTAGGAAAACATAGTCCATAAATCTAAAGCATAATTTTACAAAATAACAGGAATCTCATGCTCATTGAAGCGAATCAGCACAACAAAAGATGAACAAAAGAAAATGTTAAATAGCATCAGTGCAAACATTTGTCTTCTTAAGGTATATGGCCCTATTTATTCATAACTGTCACGAGCAAGAGATGGATTCCAACGGACACGAAAATAATTTGGTATATCCTGATAAGCAACTCCACCTTGTTGTGTCAAATATTTGGAGAAGGGGCATTTTGCCAAACATTGTAAGAGTATCATTACCTTTGCTAGTTGTATAAAGATTTTCACATAATCAAATTTGATCCTTATTCTTTGTGAAAGTAAGCTGTCCCTCTCCATATACCTTTCTTGTAAGAGGTTGGAGATGATGATAACTTATTCTTGAAAGCCTGTGATTTTCTCTATGTTTCTAACATTAGAATCAAGAAAAAAGACAATTAGAAAGCTCCCGTTTGGCATCAGGATAAAATTGTTTCATTCTATCACTTATATTAAACAAGGTTTTTCTTCGTTAAATTTAGCTCTATAAAGAGGTTACAATTACAAAAAACACTGGTTTTACGATCATGGCAAAAAGAATATGACAAGAGAGGTGTTCCCGTAATGTCGATACTTTGACAAAGGCTTGAGTGGGCTTGCAAGGTTTGTCTTTCTTGTTAATGGAATTGAACTGATCACAACTTCATTATCAGTAGTTTTGGGATAATGATTTTATGGACGAACATACTAACTCAAGCATCATTCTTGTTAAGCATTGTTGTTGGTTGAGGTTAAAGGCCTTAAAGCTGATCCAAGGGTCTTTTGATTCACGCTAAGAAGTATTTCTATACAGCTTGTATCAATGTTAGGCCACAGCATCCAGCAAACAGAAATTTTGTCCCTAATTCTCTTCCCATTGCTGATTTTGGTATGTTAACCGGTTTTCAGTCCTAGTAAGTTAAAGATGATTTGAATTTTCGCAAAAAGCAATATATTTCAAATCATTATGGGACCATCAATGTTATCAATTTTGTGAATCTTCTCTCTTCCTCAAATTTCAGATTGGCGTCTGTGAATCTTTAAGGAAGAATTTCAACAGTTATTGATTTTCATAAATTTAAAACTAGCAAAAATTGATGGTATGTTACAGGGTACCAACTTCGAACGTCTCATTGTGGTGGACCTATTTCAACAATTCCAAATCCCATCATTGATTTCATCAGTATTCTGCTCTTTGCTTCTCTTTTAATTTCTAGAACAGGACCGAGCTTCTAGTAAGTTAATACGGTCGTCCTCCTCACAAGGTCTAGAATTGATAAAACTAAGCCCCAACATCAATTAGTATAATCATCCTCCTTATAAAGATCAGAGTTGACAAGATTAAGCCTGTACCTTGTTTGTGCAATCCTCCTGAAGATAATTAATTAATATAATTAAAGTTGATATGATTGATGCTTCAATCAAGCCTCATAATAAAGTTCATTTAAATTACAAATATAAGCTCTCTAAATTTCCCAATGATGGGCATGCTCATTGCACATCTCAACCAGAAGAGTTTACTTTTAAACTAAGCTCCAAGGAATATTTGAATAAACTCAATAAAAGCTATGAACATGATCTTTTGTTAGTGAGATATAGTCAACAAATTTTAAAGTTATCCAAAAGTCCCTAATGTGGTCGTTTTTAATGTAAATCTCAATCACAAGGGTTACTAATTTCAAAGTGCCTACAAAGTTTAAAAAGAATCATTGTGAATTTAAAATTCAAATATTCAAGTGAAATTTCATCATTAAAAGCTCAAAGCAAAATCTCATTCATGATTCACAACAGTTTGTTGAGAATGAAACTTAAGGATAACTTAGGCTCACAATGAGCAAATGTGATATCATTAACATCACTATGTTCACTCTCAAAATAATCTCACATTGTTCCCTGAGTCATCTATTCTAATTGTTTAACCAATACGTTCCATAAATAAAGCAATTACGAACAGAGCCCTTTCAACGAATAGTTTGACCAGTAGATTTCACTAAATTAAAGTCACGACTATATCCATATGCTCCATGATGGCTATACTTATTTGAACAATGAATCATAGGATATATCTAATAAGATAGAAAGTATTGGTTAAGTTCAACTTATATCTGCCTCCATAGACAAATATTCACCTTGGATCTATAAGATTACCTTGGATGAAACAATCCATAGCTACTGACAAGAATCATTATGACTGATTGGGTCAACTACCTCCTCTGACTAATTAAACCAAGGAAAACTTTAAACCGAGATGACAGACAATAAAATCTTGATAGATTCGTCATTTTCCCCCCACCATACCCTCTAAGCTTAGTGATAACTTTCATAATTCAAAAACATAAATACAGCGTTGCTATATGTTAAGTTGATCTACTTAACACCTAATGACTAACCTTAATAAAAAATACTCTCACATTATCAGGTGGGAAAATTAATAATGGGGGCTTGCACTTATAGGAAGAGACGCTTTATTAGCAAAATGAGGGTGAAATCTCTAGGTAGTATCTTACGTACTATCTCACTTATCTTCTGAAAATTTGACCCATAACCTACATAAAACTCTCTAATTCAATCTTTTGATGGAGCTTGTGGCCCAAATTTTCAAAGCCCTCAATAACATAAAGATTTACCAGAGTAAAAAGCCTGGTGAACTTAGACTTGGCATAGGATAGCCTCGTTCAGAAGTTTGGCAGAAAATTGTTATAATTAAATGTCTCACAGTCAATTCCAAATCTCTCACAATATTTTTACTTCAAGCCCCAAAAATAATGCCTCTCATAATTTCACATCTTTCATTTTGGAAGCCGGTAGAAGGGTGGCATGACCTATTGAGAAGATAGCTTTCCTTCCATGTGAAATCATCATGATGAATTAGGAGAAGTTGCTACGTTCCCCCAACAAACACCCCTAATTCAGGTCAAACAATGATGTCCTAGACCCCTAAATATCATGTTCACCAATGACATTCCTGCATCTTTTTTTATCCTCCACCTTCTATTTGTTCAGAGGTGCAAATAGTAGTATATGATGAATCGACTCTCCCAATGCCTCTGGTTACCAAATAATTCCTGCAGTATTGCGGTACAATTATTGACTTCATAGTACAAATATCATGTTCACCAATGACATTCCTGCATCTTTTTTTATCCTCCACCTTCTATTTGTTCAGAGGTGCAAATAGTAGTATATGATGAATCGACTCTCCCAATGCCTCTGGTTACCAAATAATTCCTGCAGTATTGCGGTACAATTATTGACTTCATAGTACGATTTCACATTTTATTTACCAACTCAAAACCCTTGTAACAAGCATTCTCGTGAATTTTTCCATGCAGAACCACAATGAATTAACTTCAATAAAAAACAGAATCAACGGAATACAGAAAAAAAAATACCTCAAAAGCATCAAGGTCATCAAAGGTGGGAACAGTTATATTGGTAACTAAGGGAAATAATGCTCTTCTGAACCAACTTTGTATGGAGGATTCAACAGAATCTAGATTGAGGAAATAGATGGGGTTAGCTTAGTGAGAACTATAACTGAAAACAAAGTGAAGAATGTGCTAATTGAATTGCAATGAACATTTCAATATTATTAAATGAGTGGTACCTTCAGCACGATAATAATAATTCAAAATACACAGTATTACAAGCAAGGCAAAAGGATTTGTCATTGAATGATCATTTGAGGCCATCTGTGATTATTATTCTGACAAATATTTATCTTAGGTCTTAAGATTTGAAACTTTTCTTACCGAGTTTCTGAAATGTATAAATATAAAACATTGGAGCTATGAAAGATTTTTAGAATCAACAGTTTACTCGTAATGCCATCTTATAATCACAATAGCTAACTCTTGCAATGTAAAAAAGAACATGCTTGATGAATAATTTGAAGAAAAACCATAAAATCCTGAGCGTGGTATCAGAAATTAGCATTGCAAAGGACGCTAATAAAATTTGAATGTAGATGGAGAAATGGTTACATTAGAAAGTGAATCTCAACAAGAAAGCCATGATTAATAAGGGTTGCCTAAGTGACCAAGTTCGTCGTGTCTTGAAACTTAGAAGTTAGCCATATTGTATTTTGCAATATTGACATAATAAAGAGAAGGTAAAAGTAGCAAAGAGGAATTGCTAAGAAATTTTGAGAAATGGGTTCAATGCCTTCTTGCAGCATAAGGAATACAAAATTAAAATATATATGACATCGAATGGACATAATGCCAGCATTCAAAACACCATTTGTGCATGTCCTAGAAATATCATAAGTGATCATATTATTAAAATATAAATATTTTATACTAATTTACTAAAAACTTAACTGGCATGCATATTATTTTTTTTCTTGTATTATTGTAGTTTAGGAGTGTGAGTATTCACTAATTTTAGTTAGCTCATATTTGTTTTAACATAGGCCCTATTTGGGATTACTTTCTATTTTTTATTTTTGGTTTCTTGCTTTTAGTGTTTTTTTTTTCAAGAAAAAGTGTATGGTATGGTTATAATTTATTTGTTTTTACAAATTAAAAATATAAAAACATGTTTAGTTGGGTATTTTCTATTTAAAAAAAAAACATATACTTTTTAAAAAAATATCATCAATTCTAACTATGTAAATATCTCATACTCATATATATATATATATATATATATATATATATATAATATCATTATTATCATCAATCTTTTTTATCATATAGGAAATTTATATATATATAAATTACAATAATATTATAGGAATAATATCAAAGTCGGCACTTCCAAGGGGGTTGTCTTTTAACAATCAATAAAATCATAAGAATTTCACACAAAAACAATAAATTCTTTTCCCTCCAGCTTTCACCATTATTACCCCAGGTTTATTTGGATCCTTGGGCGATGTGACCATCGTAGGCAAAGAAACCCTTGTTTGCTTGACAACTTTCCATGTTGTACTATTGGGAGGCAGGTTGGCCTTCGTGGCAACAATTCATTTCCCTCAACTCTTCGCTCGTCGAAATCTTGACTATGCATGCACGCCTAATTTAATTCTCCAACCCTTCCCCTCCCTCATCCTCCAACCCTTTCGTTTTATTTTGGTCTAATCGATTTTGCCACTGCTCAAAACCCTAGCCTCAAATGGTCATCGACCAAAATTCCGTCCCCAAAGATCCCCTCCCTTAAAACCCTAACCCCTTTCCTTCCACAGCTCATCCTTCGGCCCCCTTCCAGTCATCCTCCATCTCTAATGTCGGTGATTCCTCCGTTGTTGATGAATCCGCCGACGACCAACCATCCACCCATAAGGTCAAGCTTCTCTGCAGCTTCAGAGGGAAGATGCTCCCCCATCCTTGCGGCGAGGCGCTTCGATACGCCTATGGCCAGTCTCGAATCATTATTGTATGGAGAGATATGACCCTCCCTAAGCTATGTCGAAGAATGGTCAATGCCTATGGCAATCCCATTGTTATTCATTACCAGCTTCACAAGGAAGACCTCAACGCTCTCATCTCTGTCTCGTGAACAGAGGAACCCGATAATATGATGGACGAGTGCAACAAGCTTGTAGAGGTATCTGTTGATGGATCCTCCAAACTTCATTTCTCACTTTTTCGAAGCCGAAATTGCCTGTCTTGATTGATAAATTCTCTATTGATTCTGCTTGTATTGGTCCCTACGACAGCGTGAAAAGGACGAGAGAGAAGGGGCAAAAGGCAGAATAGAGAGATAAAGTCGTGCTTGCGGGTAGCAGTCGGCATGGGGAGGAGGGAGGGATCGGGCTATATCACAAGGGAGTCGGGCCTGTTTACGGTGTTTTAAAAATAGGTAAAAGCATGTTTTTTGTGTTTTGAGTATTTTAAAAACAGAGATGTTTCCTCTAAAAATAAAAAACAGAAATAAAATTAAAAACAGATAAACAAACATTGTTTTCTGTTTTTTAATTTCAAAAATAAAAAATAAAAATTGATCCTAAGCAGGCCCTTAACTTTTTAGGTATAATTAACTGATTTAAAAGATGAGCAAAAGAAGAGGAAACATTTATAGAAAATACGGGCAACCTATTATAAGTTAAATTTAATTGTATAGCTTTAATTTAATTTTTTTAGTGGCTTTTTTATTTCTTAATAGATATTTATAGAAAATAAATAGAAAAAACTTAAATCCTACTGTCCGACCGTTTGTATTTGCAATGATTAATTTTAAGCCACAAGTCGAGGAGTGACAAAGAAGGGGAGAAGTTGAGGATAAACAACACATCACAGCAAGATAAAGTCAGAGTACTACTCGTCCTCGGATAGAACCCTAAGAAGAAAAACTGATGATGTTGAAGGCTGTCTTGACAGAAAACACGACAAAACTAAATCTTAATCAGCAAAAAGAATATATATATATATATATATATATATATGTAGCATCCTCTCTATAAAACTCCTCGGGTAAATCACTATATATATATATATTAGTAGATAACTAGGAGGGGGGACCCTTGGGCGAGAAACCAAGCCCAGCTTTAGGTTGTTCAACCCTTGCAGCAACTTGGCTAAACCGATTATGCACTCTCCAGCCAATTCAACCCCCCTAGCCTTGCATCATCTTCTTTTGCATCTATATTTTTAATACATACATAACAATGGTCACGCAGATAATAATACTCCTAATAATAAATTAATTGTCTGTGTGGAATATGCATGATTATTATAGTAATATGTATGTTGGTGTTAAAATTTTTTGAATGTTTTTTTTTTTTGGGATTGGCGTTTATCTTTCATGATTTCGGTGTGTCATAATAAATTGACCATAAATACACATATATATAGTTATATATAGAAATAGATTAATACATGTTTAAAGAGTCATTTATAGAACATGCATATGAGATGTTATAATGTTGGCATGTGGACACAATGATCATATTTATATAAATTTCTTTCTTTATTATTTGTTAAGCATCATTAAAAAAAATCAACAAAAAAAGGATATATTTCTATATTTTACATATTATTTAAGATGCTATGAAATAACAAATATTTTATTTTTGTCTTTTATTGCCAATAATTATGTCATGTGCCTAGCCATTTGTACCTAGCTAAGTCAGGTTTCACCTACTAAGTTTGTCTCTAGTAACCTCACACTTTAAATTTTATGATTTTCAAGTTGCTAGATATGCAACTGGTAGAGGAGCTTTATGCTCATTCTTCAGGCATATTCTTGGAGATGATTAATGTTAAAATTGTTTATTTAAATCAATATCATGATCATAATTTATTTACTTTTAATCGATAGATTATTATGAAAGTATTGGATATTGACGCTTCAATAATCTCATTGGTGGATAAATGTTATTATAATCATGTTTAAATTGATTTGAAATTTCCTAAATTCTCAGCTTATATCCTACTCTCGGGTTTTCCACCAGTTCCTACCAAGCCAAAGCAGGCGAGGTGTGACAATCCAGACGATTGAGAGAGATTATCACCTTGATTTAATCAGACTACAAGCACATCATCTGATAAAAATCAAGGAAAAAACAATCCGACAAGAGAAAACTAGAGAAAACAGTATGAGTTGCATAAATCAAAAGCCAAAAGTCCTAAGAACATAAAATAACATCATATAAATAATTCTCAAGCAATAGCACTAATTATAATTCAAATAATATTAAAATTATGGACCCGATGAAAAGTCTCACTGCATGTTCACGAGACCAATTCCTGTCCAGCTTTACAACTCCCACATACTTGGGGGATCGTGTTACCTGCTCTCACGTCAACTAGTACCTTCGCAAGCTATGTGAGCTAACCATTGATAGTAATTAAACTGTAAAAGAGAACAAAATGAGAAGTTTCTTATTGGTAAATTTCTCTATGTACCTCATCCCTCACTCAGCGTGTAAAATCTCAGATGATCATAGAATTTAAAGTTGCCAAAATTGCAATTCCTCTCCCAAGGGTCCCTCTATCATTAAGCTTTTAACTTACTCTGACGCGAGCGTCTGGATGCCTGGACAGAACCAATCCAAGACTTGGGAGGCCGATAAACTCTCTCAAGTGGGAGTGCCACCTATTTTAAGAAGAGGGGCCCACTTCTAGTTATCCTAGGACCATTTATTTCTTTTTTTATTTTTGTGTCTAGGGTTAGTTTTTCGCTGTGTTTGCTTCAAAACAATCGTTGGCGTCTCCCTCTTCTTGTTTAGGGTTTTATACAAGAGTTCTGAGAAGTGCTCCGGTTGTATCTCATTCTAGAGATTGTCTTAGCCTTATAATACTTTCCTTCCCCTTGTTGCTCCACCTTGCTCCCGCCCCCAGTAAAAACCACCCAACTGTTGTTTTTCCTCATCCTGACTGCCAGCTAGCCTCAACCCAGCCATCCCCCTCCTTCCTCTTTGCTATCATCACCCAAAACCGACGCTTTGGCCTCTCTCCCATTACTGCTGACCCCCAAAAAATTTGCAAACATGTTGTTTTCCCTTTCCCCTTACTATTGTCACCTTCCAAACATCTAGCCAGCATCGCGAACACCCTCAATCCGACCCTAGTTCAAGGTTGCATTGTGTTTGTTGCAAACTGCTTTCAATTTTGTGTTGTTGTAATTTCCTATTTCAATTCAACAATAATATTTATTTTCTATTAGAATTTTGATTAAACTGGCATCATTTGGTATCAGAGCTAGTCTAACATTAGTCATATCCTAAGGTTACCAAACTTCAAACAGCAACCCCTTCCCTCTAGCTGATTTTTTAAATCAGCCAACATTTTTTTTTCCCCACTCCAAACCACTACCATAAACCCCATTTCACCTCCTAAACCTAAACCCTAACCATGTCATCGAGGAGACAAGTACTAAAAGCCCTTTAGAAACTTACGATGGAAAAGATGCGGTGAAAAATCTGCCAACTTCAGCAAAGACTCGATGAAATTGAGGAAGGGACTCATGAAGAAATCACTATCAATCAAGAAAAATCCGCCGACTTCAGCAAAGGCTCAATGAAATTGAGGAAGGGATTCATGGAGAAATCACTATCAATCAAGAAAGTGAGATTCTAAGAGGAAAGAGAGAGAAAATTAAACCCCTTTCATATGAATGATTCCAGAGAAGAGAATGATAGGCCGCGACGCTACTGGATTCAATATCAAAGGAGGCCGAGGAATGGAGTAACCATTGGAGGAAAGAGAGACCTTGGAGTGAATGTAGACTTACGGAATTTCGAGGTGATAATGAATCTAGACGACTTCATTGAATGGTTGCAAATTGTCAAGAGGATTTTTAAGTAAAAGTAGGTGACAGCCAATAGAAGAGTGAATCTTGCTGCTATAAAGCTTAAAAAGAGTGCCTCTTTTTGGTGGAAGAATTTAAAGATAGAGAAAGACGGAGAGAAGATCGAAACTATATCACTACCTAGGAGAAGATAAAGGAGATGTAGAGGAAGTATCTACCCCCACACTACCACTGGGACATGTTCTCGATGCTAGATTACTTGCATCAGGAGTTATTAGTGAATGAGTTCACAGCAGAGTTTGAGCAACTCATGCTGAAATATGAGTTGAGGGAGCCAAAGAACACCATAGCCAAATATTTGCGAGGCCTGAAGTTAGCTATCAGCCATGTCGTTTAACTGAAGCCTTACTAGTCATTGAGTGATGTTCAGACATTGGCCCTGAAGATGGAGAAGCAACATAAGCATATCATAACCCTGCCAATCTTCAGATAGTCACCCACAGTAGGAGCCAATATGAGAACACATGAAGAAGATATGAAAATTGTCCAAAAAAAAATATGATATAGCTAATCAAAGTGGGAAGAAGCCCGAGGGAAGTAGTACACCCGGCACAGTGCCCGCAAGGAAGTGTTGCAAATGTCATGGGTTTGGACAGATCACATCCAGTTGCCGTCCTATCAGAGTTCTCTTTCACTGAACAGTGAGTATTAAAATAAGTAGACAGAGGTATTGAAAATATAGAGGATAATTAAAATGTGCAAGAGTACCAGCTTCCAGCTAATAAGGGAGAGTTGTTTTTGGTTTGATGAGTCCTTCAAGCTAAGGCTACGAGAGAGCAGAAGTGGCTTCGCAGCAACATTTGTTATATTCGTTACACTGTAAAGGAAAAAGTGTGTAGTCTTATCATTGATGGGGGTTGAGTGAGAATATGGTGTCTACAAAGATGGTGGTCAAGTTGAGCTTCACTACTCAAAGACATTCTTAGCCATATTCCCTAACTTGATTGAAGAAATAGAACAGGTTGGCATTGGAAGGAGATGCCTCCTAAGGTTTTCTATTGTGGATCAGTTGCATGATCAAGTGTGGTGTAAAGTGTAATGTTGTACCCATGGAAGTCATATTCTGTTAGGGAGACTGGCGGTTTGATTACAAGATGTTGTGTGATAGATTCAAAAGCACTTGCTCATTCACCAAGTAAGGGAAGCGCATAGTTTTCCTACCCTCTATAGATTTTGAGGTTATAGATGCTCTTACTATGAGAGAGGCGCCAGAAGGAACAGTTTTGGTGATGTTAGAGGATGGTGAGACAAAGATGTCGATATCAGATACAGAGCAGCCCCGAAGGAGAAAATTTCAAGATATCCTGATCGATAGCTTATCGTTAGGGCTACCACCTTTAGGGGAGGTTATTTGTTCAGTGCCAAGTTTAGGTGATGCGTTTTTTTACCGAATTGTTTGGTAGGCAACAAAGGAGCGCATTGTATTTCATTTGGAGGGGTTTTAAAAATTAAAAAGTTTGGTAGGAAGAAAAATAAATACAATGCCTTTTGAATTCACACTAGTTCATTTTTTATGTATTTAGAATTAGCAGGATTTGGGTGAATTCTAAATACACTAAATTTGTGTAAAGTGACACCACTGCCACCAAGTGTTGCCACTACAATCGCCATTCAGCCACTTACCATAGCAGCCGACCAACCTCCCACAGTCGCCGTCGATGCCATCCGCTCGTTATCACCGCCGATCTTAATAAACTTATTTTATATTGAATCATTTTTCTTCTAACCAAACAACAAAATATAACATCCAATATTCATTTTACATAGAACCGAACAACTTTAAAGTATTCCAAATACAATACATTACTTTAAAATTGCATTTCTTTTTCAAAAAACCAAAAAAACCCCTACATGATATCATGTCCACCAACTTTGGTGATTTCACCCCCTTCTCCATTTATTTATCCAAGGCAACCCCTTCTTATTATCATATCGAGAGTTTGTTCTATCACTTACTGCCAGACTAGTGATACGCTCTCCTCAAGCCATTTATTGTATATATAGGGAGTTATTCTCAATTCATAAATGTTATCATTATTATGAACCGGTACCATAAATGTTATTATTAATGAGTCACCTCCTTATTTTCCTGCAATCACATTGAACCACCCTCTCCGCTTCCAAAAGCATATATACCTATCTCTCCACCATAATAGGTGTGTACATGATAACCTCATCCCCAACCACTATAACACTACCATCCACATCATCTGGTTGATTGAGCATCCATCTCCATGCTTCCATTCCTCTATAAAAAGGTAAATGACGAAATATTGATGGATTTGTATCAATAAATTTTATCATGCATGGCATCTGGTTACTCTTCATGGCATTAAACACATTGCATTTTAATGGATTTGCATCATTAAATTTTATCTTGATGGCTCTGTTGATGAATCAAAAGCACACTTAGACAGTCAAATTTTTACTCAAGCCTATAGGATCGAACTACTTTGACACATTCTCCCCAATTTTCAAGCTCAATTCAACTAGATGTTTTTGAGATCAATCAAAGCTAACCCTTAATATAAACGGATGAAACTACTTCCATTTTTATGACTATCTCATTAAACCAAAGTATATTTCTCAAAGAAAAACTAGATTATATAAGCTCAACAAGCCATTTATGATCAAAAGCAAGGCTCTTAAGCTTAATTTGATCAGCCTTGCAAAGTTTTTATTGAAGCTGGACTTCATATCAGCACAATAGGTAATTTCATGTCTATCAAACACATTTCAATAGCTATGTTGTTTAGGCAGTATATAGATGGCATTCTCCACACAAGAAGTCCTCCGAAAAAGGATTACTAAAATAAAATAATATGTATAAAAATATTTTCTAACCGAAAGTCCGAGTCATCCAAAATACCTTCGAGCAAATTAATTTGTCTCCTATCAAACGAATTCCTATCTCAAAAAGTAAATTTGGGAGATTTACATAAATACCACTCAATTCTTATGTATTTACATATATAACTCTCAAAATTTGATATTTACAATTATAACAAATTTTGTGTCATAAATCTATGCATGAAAAGGTGTATTTTATTTTTTAAAAGATAGTGATTGTGGTATATTTTATGTGATGTTAAAGATTTGAGCTGTAAGGATGTAAAAATGAATGTTTAGGTGTTAGAAATGTAAATACATAAGAATTATGTGGTATGTGTGTGAATGCCCCAAAAAATATATATGCTATCAACCTTTTTAAGGAAACCGATCTTTAAGGAGTCAACAAAAAAAGACTACTACAGTAAAATAATATCAATAAAACTATTTTCTTCTGAAAAATCCGAGTAGTCTAAAATATCTTCCAGAAAATTTGTCTTAATTTGTCCATGTTAAATAATGAATAAGTTCCAATGATTAGTATATGTTAGGTGAATTTGGTATATTTTTTCAATTTGAGCGCTGTTAAAACCCATAAGTTCTCATTCGCTAACTAATAGAGCAATCAACATTTTAGAATTCATATATATAGCCTATTTACAGTTACTGGGAAACAATACTCTATCCAAAGTCAGAAAACTGTTCATTAAATCCGACTGTTAGTCCTACGGAATCAGGGTTAATTACTAAGGTAACACCTGTTAGTGGACCGGTCGAGAGTCATCCAGCTGGCCCGCCTGGACGGTCCTTTCCGCGAGAAGAATCAGAGCGGCATTTTCCTGCAGCCGAAGGAAGCAAGGCGCAGGTGGGCTCCGTGAGGGGCTTAATCACATACTCAAGGAGGAGAATATAAAGGAGTTTCGAGGGAAAGTGGGGAAGGATTCTATTAAGGAGAGTAACTTAAGGTTTGTATTTTTCACAGATGCTATTGTTGGCTGCTGTGTTTTCTTCTTTCGGTGGTGTCCCTAGCGACATCTATGGTTGTGGGAGAGCTGATCTGCCACTTGAAAAGTAGATCATCATTGTATCTTGCTTATTTACATTTATTTTTCGCAAGAGCAGCCCTCATTTGAGTTTTTTCCATCTATTTATTGTCGTTTCGTCATTGTTGTTTGCTGATTTTTTGTTTCGGGGAATAACAGGTATCATGTCACTAGAACAACCATTTACATACCGGTCTACTTAGATTTAATAATTGTGATGAAAAGTTAAAGATCACTTTAGGAACTTTATTCAAACTCAAACACACCTTGATCATATGCAGCTCCATAATGTCCCCTACCAATTGATGACAACATCTGCAGGAAATAGTGGTTGCAATATGTACCTGGAATCTTTCCAACAAACAACGCATTCATACTAGCTGGATGAAAAACAACAAAGTAGGACAGAAGAGAAAAAAAAAGGATACGAGTGTAGGAAACCCAGTAAGAAAGTTCAATTTAGAAAAAATGATCACACAAGCACAGTAAAATCAGCCTTAAAAATTATAATTCAAAGGAAAAAAAGGCATATAGACAAACATTAAAAGACAGAAAATCTAGAGTTAGTAAAAATAAGGTCTAGAGAAGTAGGATGCAACCGTTCGAGGTCACATGATAATTTTCATCAATATTAAAAAATCAAAATTATAAAAACAAAATACAAGGAAAAACTCAAATTAACAGAGAAATATGCATTAAGATAAAAGCTCAGTAAATGCACAAGAAGATTAAAGAAAATCAGCAATCAACAGGATGTGATTTTGGTGTCATCAGACCTAATACAGCAGTTCCATGACATGGGTAACAACCCAACCCGAGACTTGCTCAGCTTGAAAAACAAGATCCACTTATTCTGGCTTGATCAACCAACTTAAACCGTTCCAAGAATCACAAAACCATGTCCAGCATCCATTTCTAGATCAGAAATGGATAGAAACAAAGCCTTATCCGAAAGCCCTTCGCTTCAGCTGTTTTATGATATACCTATGTTTATTATAAAGTGTTATAGCAAAGAAGATAAATAAGAAGCTGCCATCACCTTTAAAAACTTTCACTTCTTTATGTTGACCTAATTCAAAATTTCAATTCAAGTCCTTCGAACAGACAATGATCGTGAAGTTTTGAATTCTATTTTAGGTGAGTTCTTGGTGAGTAAAGACATCTTCCATCATAGCTCATGTACGGACACTCTTAAACAAAATGGAGTAGCCGAGAAAAAAAAATCGACACCTTCTCGAAGTAGCTCACTCAATTATGTTTCAATCTAATGTCTCAAAAAGATTTTGGAATGAGCCTATTATGTAGTCGGAGACTTAGTATCGATCATCGGAAATTGAGCCGACAAAGGAGATAAATAAACAAAGGTATAGCTATTGTTAAAAACTTTCACTCCATTTTGACCCAATTCAAAACTTCAATTCAAGTCCTTCAAACCGACGATGACCGTGAAATTTTTAATTTTATTATTGGTGAGTTATTGGTAAGTAAGAGCATCATCCATCATAGTTCATGTATGGATACACCTCAACAAAATAGAGCAGTCGAAAGAAAAATCCAACACCTTCTAGAACTAGCTCGCTCCATTATGTTTCAATCTAATGTACTGAAAATGTTCTAAAATGATGTCATGCATACCGCCACTCATCAATAGAATTCCCACAACAATTCATAACTTTAGCACTCTATTAGTCATCTTGATGTCATGTTTCCCTACTAATAAATTCATTGCCACTCATAAACCCAAAATTTTTTAGTGCATGGTCTTTGTTCAGAACACTACCCCTAATCATAGTAAGCTTGATCTCAGGTCAATAAAATGTGTCTACCTCGGATATTCTATCATTCAAAAGAGCTATCGGTGCATTGATCCTACAACAAATAAACTTTATGTGAGCGCGGACATCTCATTCTTTGAAAGTGTTCCATATTTCCCTATCACTGTCTCAAGTGAGTGGAAGCTTGATTTCCTGGACACTATTCTGTATCTGACCCCTGTGGATATTCCTCCAACCACTATATCAGAAGAGCACTATATCCCTCTGGATCTATCGCCTACCAAAATATCGTAACATCCTCCCATTCTCCATGCTTATACTTGGCGCACTCATGGCCCCACTTTGAAGCCTGCTACCACTTTATAAGACCTGAAATCTACTCTGAGTGAAATCCCCAGAATTGAAACCGCTCTGAATGAGGAGGTGAGTTCTCCTGTTGAGGTAAGTAATCAGGCAAGCTCCCTTTCCACAGGGTATCACTGATCTATAAGGCGTTTCCTACTGCCCTGACGAATCATCATCTCCCATCCACTATTGAAGCAGCATTAGTTGATCCTTCCTGGAAAGCTGCAGTAATAGATGAAATGAATGTCCTTCAGCAAAATATAAGGGATGTTGTGGATCTTCCCCCAAGTATAAAAGCAGTAGGGTGTCGCTGGATTTTAGCACCAAGTTTAACTCTGATGGATCTTTTGAAATCAATAAGTCACGATCAGTCAGCAAAGGCTACTCACAAACATACGTGATACCAGAACTAGTACGAAAAATATTGAAAAACATAAAAACAAATTTTAATTAGTATTAAAGTAGAATTAAAACATGACTCGAATGGAAATAACAACACAACACAAACGACATAAGCAAACACTCCTAAATGTATTATAATGGGTGGTAAAGATCGGCGAGGTGGGTCAGGATGGCTTGCAGGGGTGGTGACGGTTACAAAATGCTGGTGGTAGCGAGGGGAAGGTGTGAAACTGTAGGAACAACAAGTGAGAAAGGTGTGAGTGGTCGGCAGCGGTAGTGGGGTGTTGGGAAGAGCTTGAATGGAGTTAGGAAAGCGGGATAGCAGTAATAATTTGTAGGAAAAGGGAATAATTTGGTGTCAAGGTTACGGAGAGAGAGTTCGGCGGTTGAGGAGCGGAGAGGAGAGGGTTTGGGGATAGTAGAAGGGAATGATACAATCACCACATTGGAGAAAGATACAGATGGATCACCACCAACTCCTCGAATACAACCCACAAATGGAAAATGGACTCCACACAGGAGATTTGAAGACAACACAATCTGAACGGACTCCCTACATACCTAGGACAGCAATTTATAGACTCCCTCTAGACGAAGGAAGCTTCTACACAAAGGAAGAGAGTGAGAAGCCTAGAGAAATCTAGGAAGTACTCCTAATAACAGCAGATTCGTGATGCCCCGGGTCGGATTGCGCTAGATCCATCAACTATTCACGCGGAATCTCCTTGTCTCGCGAAACCTCATGAGAAATCGTGATCCCACTCATGTTTTTGCGCCGCTCCCACTTCTACGCCGCTAGGGGAGCTAGCCCCGCCTTCAAAGCGCTTGAATTGGGCGTTGTTTTAATGCCCGTAATCAGGCATGGTTAGCGCCTGTGTCAATACGGAATTGATTATGCGAGACATTTGCTTTGGTTGCTAAATTAAACATCATTTGGGTCCTACTTTCCTTTTGTTGTAAATTTAGATTTGTCTTTGCTCCAACTGAATGTCAAAATTGTTTTCCTAAATGGAGATCTCACATAAAAGGTGTACATGCGCATCCCTCTATAATTTGACTCCACTGTTCCCAGAGAACAAGTGTGTCCACTGCGGAAGTCTCTCTACGGACTGAGCAATCCCCAAGGGTCTGGTTCGGCAAGTTCACAAAGCTGGTAATAGGTCATGGTTTTTACAAGCCCAATCAGATCAAACTCTCTTCTTTGGGCATTCCTCCAGTGGCAAAATTGTGATCCTTATCACCTACGTCGACGATATTATGCTCACAAGTGATGATCTACCAGCATTGAAATCGCTGAAAGGTATTCTTACTACTTCATTTGAAATGAAAGACTTGAGGTCACTCTAGTACTTCTTAGGCATGGAAGTTGTTTGGTCATCTTGGGCATTTGTGTATCTCAGAGCAAATATATGCTAGATCTATTGACAGAGAATAACATTCTCCTTTGCAAACCAATGACAGTCCCAATGGATCCTAATGAGAAATTAATTGATATTCTCAAAGTGGTTCTGGTGAACAAGACTCACAATTACCTCGTTCATACTTCCCTGACATTTGCTACGCAGTAAGTATTGTGAGACAGTTCATGCATGATCCCTATGAGCACTATTTACGAGTTATCCACAGGATCCTTCATTGCTTAAAAGGTACATTAAGCTAAAGTTTATTTTTCTCGCGTCACACCTCTCATACTATAGTTGTTTATATAGATGTTCATCGGGTCAAATTTGTCCATGATCGGCGATTGGCTAGAAGTGAATGGTAAAAAATTGGCAAGCCGCCCTATAATTTGGCAATCTTCTTACCTTGATCCCCAAGAGTTAATAAGACTAACAGCACAACAACTTCATGTATAAAAAATAATAATAATAAGTGTCATTACCAAATTTTATAGGCCAACGACATAACTATCCTAACCGGACAACGAGAAAATATCTTAAGCCTAAGGATCTCATGTACTCTTCGAGATGCATCTTCCCCGAAGATAGATTCAATTACCGTAATATTCTAATCAAAGAAATTCTCATCATAAAAATGTCCACAATGCTAAGATAAATATTGGTATGCTCTTTTCCTAATGAAGAGGGTATTCCAAGCAAATCATAATCAGAAAGAACTTATTCAAATCTAGCTTCTTACAAAAAAACTGAAAAATAAAAATGTAAAACCAAAAAGTCAAAACAATCACAAGCCTCCCGGCACCCACTGCTCAAACTAGCCACTTATCCATTCTACAAGCTAATTTGGCAAGAACTATAAATTTAAATTTAACCAATCATCACAAAGAGACAATTTCATATCAACTGTGTCCATATGATCACACAAAAAAATCAAATAAATGTAAGAGTATACCACATGCTTGTCAAGCTTAATTGTGATGACATCAATATATTATGATCATGATCAAAGCCCAAATATTCCCCAAAAGCAATGTTTATTAATCTTCAGCTATAAAATGCACTTAATAGGGCATGAAGCTTTTGTTTTAGACTATGGCAACTTAAAATTGGACTCTTACGCGAGCTTTATTTGAGTTTTGGAGGTCCTCTGGATAAAGCTACCTATACTTGCTGACAAGAATTCTTTAATTTAATTAGGTCAACTACCTCCATGATCAAAATAAACTAAGATTTATAACAAATTGAGAAGACAAAAACATAAGCCATTGATCGAGTTTATCATCACCATCCACTTTGAAATAAAAGCAGTATATTCTTCTACTAAATCAAATTGTTCCTACCAAACATAGTTTCACATAGCCTACAGACTCACCTTAATTGAAAGTGCGCCACTCGTAATAAAGAAGGGTAATTAAACACTTGAAATTGCACATAAGGTAAACCTCAAAATTAGATTTTCAAGTCCTCGTTAGCGTCTAACATCTCTAATAAGTATCTTATTCAAAAATCCAATTTATCAACTAAGAAATTAACCAAGAACCAACTATAATATAAAAAGGCTGAAAGAGAACTCTTGGAGCCACAATCCAATATAAATATATTTTTCTTGAGAGAGAGTCAAGTCCCAACATAGATTATGCCCTAGAAATGTGCATTCAAAGTTTATTCAGTTTATGCAAAGTAGTTGAAGAGAGAAAAAAAAACCTAGCTGGGCTTGGTAGGAGGCGACATGTTTAATCTTGGAGAAGTGCAGCAAGTAAGGCATGGGCAGGAGGTTCCATGTCAAACATGACGGTATGCCAACCTAGCTGGTTTAGAGATACATATCCCATAATCATAAGAGGAGGGGATAAACAAACAAAGATGAACAAAAAATCTATCAAACAATGGAATCGTTGTTCAAATGAACGTAAGGCAGTGAGAACTAATGGCATCTCACTCTAATGATCACATTTTTGAAGCAAGGGAATTTGTAGTAGACCCCCTAAACAATGGTGAATGACGTTAAGTAGTGAATCCAACTCTTTAACTTTTTGCATCCATTGTACATTATTCCATGCATTCAGATAAATAACAGGTTCTAAAATTTGACTCATTTAAATTAACCAATTTGTGACCTTCCAAACTTGTACAAACTATCAAAAATTACAACAACATATTATTCGAGAGGATTGCAGGAAAATTGCAAATATAAATTTATTGCTAAATATCGCATCATACTGTCAATATTGGTTAGGGGGAAGAGTGGTATATTAGAAAAACTCAAAATGTGTGGATAAAAACCGTTACCAATGCCAAATGTGCATATTCTTGGGGTTATGGGTCCTCTATTTTCTATTTGAGCTTTAAAAGCATGACAAATAGCGCGTTCGTTCTCCACAGCACCATCAGTGACAAGAAAAATATATGGGACTGAGTCCTCTCTTGTATTAGATAATAAAGCCAGAGCCTGGAAACAAACAAAACTGTTATGATAGATATGACATGTTAAATATACTGGATTTACTGGATTTAGCAGAATTTATCCAAAAAAAAAAAAGCAAAAAACAAAACATAACAAAACCACATGAACCAGATGGTAATTCAGTAAAGAAAGAATGGCGCATACCTCATTAAGTGGCTGCATTATATTTGTCCCACCATGAGCGACAAAATTTTTACTTGTCCAATGTTTAGCACCTTCTAATTTATGATCAATTGCTGGTTCCATATATGATGAGAAAGTGAAAGTTCCTTCATTGAAAGCTATTATGTTAAAATAATCTGCGGGAGAAAGATCTGAGAGGACCAAAAACAGTGCATTCTTAACATTTTCAAGAGTCTTCCCTTCCATGCTTCCACTTATATCGACAAGGAAAACCACTTCCTTTCTGAAGACCTTTTGCAGAAAGTGAGATAATGAGCAACTAGTTGCTAATTACAAACTAAAATATTATTTTAATAACTTAATTAACATAATTGCAATCTTAAATGAGGTAAAAAAATTTGCTAAGTGCGTGCTGATTACTGACAAATACATGCAGCATTGAACGAAATAATTAAAACAAAATAGTGCCAATTGATCCATCAAAATAAGAACAATGCACTTCAAGTTAAATTTCCCCAAATCTTTTAGTGAAGAGAAATAAAGCTGATATCAGAGTTATCCCAAATAATGATAGGAAAATCAAATATTATTGATGAATTCAAAATTAGAGAAACACACGCAAATACGGAAGTAGAAATAGCAAACATAGGAGACCCAAATACGACTAGGAATGTAACCCAAGAAGTGGTGGTCTGCTATGCTGTATGGAGGGGCATTAGGTGGCTTCGGTTGCATGGTGGGATGGTGGAAGTGAACTACAGTGGGATTGCAACAAGAGGAGGGGAGGCTTGCAGTCGGGGGAGGTAAGAAGGTTGATGGTTGGTCTGTTGTGGGATGGCAGCCGGCTAGGATGGCTGGAGGGAAAGGGTGGGTTGGTAGTTGGAATAGTCGGGACGGCTGGTCGTGGGATGGGGACGAGGAAGGCTAGAGATTGGCGGAAGAAGCTTTGGGAGCAGTGGTCAGGTTGAAGGATGAGCGGCTAAATGCAGGAGCAGAAGGAATTGCAGGAAAAACGGTCCATATGGGTTGTCCGGCAATTGTAGCAGAGAGAACGTACATTAACAACAGAGGGAAAATCGCAGAGGGACGAAAGTCGAAGATAGTCACCGCCTCAAAAACGAGATACAATTGGAACACCACTAGCCCTTGAATACAGCCCTAGAAAGGGGAACTCGGAGATGCTGATGGCTGTCCCAACAAAAAAACACACCAAAATTAAACCTAAAATATCAAAAAAGACAAATATATGTAGTGATAGGATAACTAAGAGTGGCCCAAGAGGGCATTCCGACTCAACAACAATGAATAACTCGGATTGGTTTGATCCAGGCACAAAAGCAAGATGCGCTTTCTATCGTGGGAATTACAGCGCGGTGCGCTCCTCATCAGTCTCCCGAGATTTGAGGAGCTTCAACCACATCCGTCGAAACTTCTATCACCTCATAATACAAAGTCAACTAGCCAAGTTGAAGTTGACAGAGCTACTGTAACTTTCTGAAGGGTTTTCAACTGCGTCGATATGATCACCTGGGTTTCACAATTTCTTACAGTGTCCCAAAACACTTGAGAAAATTTCCCCATTTGTAAGTAGTCATCCATATCAACCCAACTATCTAAGAATATAACACTAAATTGAATTGGAACTTCGTGCCACATATACATTATAGGGTCTTCTAAAGGTAGCCCAAGATTGGCCCATCGCTACCCGACATGAGAACAAACTAAACTTCCCCTAACAATGACGGCTCTAGCGACAAGCTGCCAGTCCGAGTGCCCTGAAACTCTCTCTTTAGTTTTTGCCCTATGTCAGATATCGGCCCTTCGGTCTCGCTACCCACTATCATCACCAAGACTAGTCTCACTGTCGCATATTTGTTGGCAAGGTACCGGTAACTTCAGACTCCGCAAAAGGTAGGAGGATTTTGTGCTTCTCATCCTTTTTGAAAGAGTAGGCGTTCATGAATCCATCATATTTTAGTTATGTGGTCAAACTATCATGGTCTCCCCAACATAATATGATAGAAATCCATGGGCACCACGTTGCATCACTCCTAATTCTACAACTTGGTTCTCAATAGAAAACTCCACGAGACACCTCTTGTCAATGCTAAAAATGTTTTCCTTCTTCAACTACGTTAGAGAATACGGCTAAGAATGTCTCTGAGTCGTAAGACTCACCTTATTCTTGAAAATATGCATTTGCATTACTAAATCAAAAAGAAACAAAAACTATGCATGTATCTATGTGATACAAATATGTGATATATCCTCTACAACAATGGAAGAGAGCTCACTATTTTCATTTGCATTCATCAAAATCAAATGGCCATCAAGGGCAAGCTTAGCACAAAAATGAGCCCTATTATATTCCTGGAGCGTGTAAAAATACAAAACTTGTCTAAAGTTAAAAAGAAAAGCTAAACCTGACGCTTCATGAGGCCAAATTCTCCATGCCTCACTTCGCATATTGGACTTCAAAAATTTCATGATATTGTTTTGTCACCTTCAAGGATGACTCATACATCCATGGCTCGCAAAGAGTACGAAATAGTGAGCCAGTCATGAGTTCCACTTGCCCACTATCCCAAAGTTGGAGTTGATGTCCTATAGCACCAAGCCCAATACGATTCTCGTCGCGAATAATAAGACCCAACTTATCCATCATTTGTAGGGATGCCACATTCTTAATGTTAGGTCCATCAATGATAAGTTTGCGTGCATTTCTCTTCCGAGTGAACCAGGTGTAAAATAGGCTATGGCAAAACCACTTTTACTCCCTCGTGGCCTTAGTTTGATGGAACCGTCGAACCATAAGCATCTCACTCTCATCCGGTGAAAGTTGGTACTCCTCACCTTGATCTTCAGTCACTTCCTCATTGCTCGCTTCCTCCACTGCACCATGCTCGATGAAGGATACAACGCTGCCCTTCGTGAAATTGGAAGTGATGTGCCGATAACCATAGTATCTGAAGCATTTTCTAGAGGGGACTGTATTAGAGATGTTGCTCTTCTCAAGCTTTTTCTCACTCTAGACAGCTCGATCACTCTCCTAACCAATCTTCTCAACTCCCTTACAAGTGTTCCTAATGATTTATTCAATTGTGGGTGGTTTTCTGAATGATGATGGGTGCCTGTTATGTTTTTGTGGTCTTTCCACCTTCAGTGGCAAGGTCTGAACATCACCCAAAGTCAATTAAGATTGTAGTTGAACCACATTGGCGATGTAGGGTTTTAGGCCTCCCACGTGCTTAGCTATCGTGTACTCTGACTTTGTCAGCTCACATTTCAGCTTAAACTGCATAAATTTTGTTGTGTACTCGTTCATTGATAATGCCCTCTATTGCAGGTGGTAAAGCTTCAAGAAAATATTATTGCGATAGCGTTGTGGTGGGTATTATTGTCGCATTGTCTTTTTTCATTTTCTCCCCAGCAATGATCTTGTCCTGTCCTTCTCCCTGTCTCTTCCTCTTCAAATTCTCTCACCACAACGAGGCTTTTTTCTTCATCTTGATGGCAGTGAGTTCCACTTTTATGTTAGCTAGCACCTTGTATTCAAAGATTATCTCAAAGGTCTGCACCCACTCAATGAAGTCATCCAAATTTATTCTCTCAAAATTTGGCATATCCACTCTTGGCTTGAGCTTGATCTTAATTAATTTTATCGAGTTTGAACTTGAACTCGAGTTTAAATCTACGAGTTTGAGCCAGCTTACGAGCCAGCTAGTTTATTATAAAAGAAGAAAAGTAATATTAATTTAAGGTAGTGTTATAATAAAATGATTAATAGAATGAGCAATTAGAAGAAAAATAATAAGAAATCACTAAATAAAAAATACAAAATATTTTTTTTTCCATATTTTTTATGTTTCAATAATAAAATGTTCAAATTTTATAAAAAGTATATTTTATATTAATCTCTTTTCAAATGAGTCAGCTTACGAGCTAAATCGCGGCTAGCTTGAGCTCAACTTGTTAGCTTATCAAGCTCATTTCGTGAGTCATTTATCAAGTCGAGCTCAAGCCAGCTCACAAGTCAGCTTGACTCACTTATAACCCTACTTCTAAGTCTTTGTATCCTCCAACAGGCACTTCCTCTCTTGGTCTCTGTTGATATTGAATCCCAAAGTGTCGTGGTCAACCCTCCTCTTTATTGAAATCATCTCTATGGAAAGGATTCAGATGTTCTTGCTCTCCTCCTCAGATCTCGCTATCATAGTCGACGGTGACCTCTACATGGGTCATTTCCTTAATTTCATTGATTTGTTGTATCACTCGATGGAGTTACCGCTATATATCTTCCATGGTAAACTCCTAATCAACGCCCAACACTTGTCTTCTCGGTAGCATGATTAGGATTTGGGTTTAGGTAGATGGAATAAGATGTATGGGTGTAATGTCAGGTCGGAAATGGGAGTAGGTAACTCTAAGATTAGACTAACTCTGATAGCAAATGATCTCAGAGCTATCCCATACATAGCAAGGAAAACCAAATATTATTGTTGGATTCAAAATTAAGGAAATATGACACACATACAAAAGTAGAAACAGTAAACAGACGCAACCCAAATACAACTAGAGATGAAACCCAAGAGTTGGTGTTCTGCTATACATGATGTAGGGGCATTAGGTGGCTTCGGATGGATGGCGAGACGATGGAAGTCGACTATGGTGGGATGGCAGTAAGAGGAGGGGAGGCCTGCGATCGTGGAAGGTAAGAAAGTTGAAGGTTGGGTTGTTATGGGATAGTAGCTGCCTCAAATCGCTAGATGGATAGGGCAGGTTGGTGGCTTGGATGTTAGGGACGGCTGGTGATGGGATGGGGAAGATGAAGGCCAGGGATCGGTAGAAAAAGCTCCAAGCGGCGGCGATCCAGTAAAAGGATGAGCAGTTGGATGTGGGAGCAGAACGAACTGCAGGAAACAAAAAGCATATTGGTTGTCTAGCTACTGCGGCAGGGAGGAAGTACAACGGCAGTGGAGGGAAGATTGTGAAGGGAGGGAGAGTTGAAGATATTCGCCACCTCGAAACAAGATACAGTTGAAGCGTCACCCTTAGATACTGCCCTAGAAGTGAAAACTTGGAGACGTCGACAGTTTTCCAGATAAAAACACACTAAAACTAAATCTAAAACATCATAAACGCAAATATATAGCAATAGAATAACTAAGAGTGGCCTAAGAAGACCGACCAACTCCACAACAATGAAAAAACATGGATTAGTTTGGTCCTGGAACAAAAGCAAGATGTAGTTTCTGTCGCGGGAATTCCGCATGATACGCCACGAGTAAGAAGCACATGGAATTTACAAAGTAGAAAGAAAAATATATCACAGGTTTATAGCAATTGTTCAAAAAGCATGCCATCATAAAAACCTACAAAAGTTTTGTAGTGAGTACGTCAAAGATAATTTGGTTGGGATAAAGCTAATGAAGATAGTGATGATGGACATTAAATGATCAAAACAATAATGCTAAAGGTTCAGCCATATTGTTTGAAATATTTTTAGTAAAGAATCAAAGCATCCAACATTTTGACGATATAGAAAATTTAATGCTCAAAAATAATTAGAATGCTGCTTTTTAATTTGTGAAACTAGTGATTTATGACTAAATATCACTCTAATATCTCTAGGCATTAGATCATGTTAGTATGAAAGTTAAAAAATAGATATACAAACAAAGAAGACTAGGAAAGGGGAATAGAAGATACCTTTCTTTTCTGATGATTAACTGGATATAGGTAAAGGCAGAACATATTTATCTGATCAGAACCGTGAACTGATGGTGCTAGAAGTATACCTCCATAAAAGTCCCTTGAGATGACCTGCACAGATTTGACATCCTTCTTTTAAAAAAAATTGCTGAAAATAAGAAATTCGAAAGTATTATGTTTTGGAAGAAAAAAATGTCCTGGAGATCAGAAAAGATTTTTCCCCCTCTTTGAGTGATAATGCAGGCATTCTCGTCAAATTTACATTAAAAACAATACATCTTTCCATCATAAAATTATTTTTCTGACAAGCAGGGATCAAATTGATGGCAAAACTTCAACCGCATATAAATGTTTGTCTGGTTATGCTACATTTTATAAGTAAGAAAAGTCCAATTTGATGTTCAATCTTGCACTTATAATGGTGGATCTACTGAATTAATGCTAAAGAAGACTGGAGTCATACACTATATGAGAAGTAAAAATCTTTAGTTGACCAGTTCTCGACATCCGCCTCATACAGGACTGATAACTTCCCAACTTGCCGACACTTTTCCTGGAGAGATAATGATAAGTCATAAGTATCAGATCATTCAAATCCTCGCATGATACAAAAAGACAATAACAAATGTCTAGAAATGGAACTCAAACACTGTTTCAGAATATTCACCTTTAAAGCATGGCTTGCTTTCTTGACTATAACTTCATTTTCGTTACAAGTATTCACATTTAGCAGTATTTTTTCTCGCTTTGCAATTATTTTTGCAAGCGGGGTTACAAACTCTGGAAAATTGAAAGGTATGCTAATTGAGAAATCACCATCTTTGAACAATAATTTCTGAGACCAACGAACACTAAGAGATATATCACATCCACCATCCACCTTAAGAAGACAAAGAGGTTGAGTTAGATCAGAATGAACCTGGGATCTTAGGAAGCAGGTGATCGGAAAAGGAAGACCCGTAAACAACTTGCCTGGGGGATTGTTAAGGAAAAAAGGAAAGAATTCAAATATCCCCCATTTTCATTCTTTGGGAATTTCTCCATGCTCTGGTCACTGTCTCTCTCAATCAACTTGGTAGAGTAAGATCTCTTGGCAACATTTACCTCAACACCTAGAATTGAACCCTGTTAGCAAACCATGATAGCTTGAGAAAACCAGTAAGCTTCCAAATGTAAGCAAATAATGAATCAGATGAGAGAAAGAAGGGATGCTTAACTAATGCGCCAAACAAATTGAGCCATAACTATTATCAGCTAACAGATATTGAAAACTTATTGAACGAATAATTGGTTTGACAACAACCTATAATCCATGATTAATTGAAGATATTGCATTCGTTTTACAATGCACCATTAACAACAAAGTGCATAAAGAGAAGCTTCGTTTATAAAAACTTGTCTGAGGTTCCAATTACACACCATAAAAATCTTTTTTAACAATGTTCGCGTAAGGCTTGAATTAAAAATGTGAAAAAAATCATTTAACGTTACAGAAGCTTCAAGAGGAGAATCCGCACAAATCACACGCGCTTCCATGAAATAACTTGCTCAACTGTGATAGCCCTCATCATACAAGTAACAGCATCCCATCATCCATTCCAACAAATTAGAAATAAACTCTGCAATGCCTCTAGTCCCAAAGCTTCAAGGAATTACCTGCTCTCCCATTGGAAGCACGAGCCGGCAGTCACATTTCCGGCTACCCATCACGCAGTGAACCCGCCACCGCCCCTGAATGGATACAAAAGCCATTTCCAGATAGCTATCCACTTCCATCGCAATCTCCTTCATCTGGAGTGGGATCAACGCCGGCGGATGACACCGGCCATAAACGTGCGGCTGGTAGCTCGGAAAGTCCGGGTTGTCGACGATCGCGGGATCGCTAATCACCGCATAGATCATCGGCGCTGAAGGAAGCAAAGAAGCCGGTGAACTCTCCATCCCAACCGGCAACCTCGGTGGCGTCGTCGTGTGCCGCTCCTTGCCGGTATACACCCGCTTTGCCAGCCTGAGTCCATCCTCAACGGATTTCGCGAACTCCTCTTCCATGTCTCTGATAGAAGTGTAGGTATCCGATTTGCCGGGTGGTCGCCGGAAAGAATAAGTAAGGGGAGGACTCGAGAACGAAATATGCAACCAAATCGGAGAGGTAGAGACCAGAAGAAGAAATGCAAGGAATCCGCAACCGACAGCCACACGCGACGGTGTGATGCTCTTTTTCGAATGTCTCTGTTGTCGGTATGCCGCATGGCACGGAAGAATTGGTTGTTGCTGGATAACAGCTATCAGTTGTAATTTGGGTTTTGTGATTATGTAAAAAAAATTACATTTTTGAATGTGATTCGTTTTATTTGGTTAATTTAATTTAATTTTTTAAATATTAGTTTTGTTGTGGATTATACATTTTTTTTCATTAATAGTTGATATTTAAATTTTAAAATGAACCAAAATATAGATTGAATTATATATATATTTTTTTTTTCAAATATTAGTGTCTTTTTTGGGATCAATTTTTTTTAATATATTTTTATTTTAATTTATAAAATAATCAATTTATTGTAAAAGTACTCAAAATAATTTCAGATTTTTATTTTTTTAAAATTAATTATCACCATCAAATATGTTTGATTTTAAATTATAATATAAACAATATATAATAAATAAAATAAAATTAAATAAAATCTCAAACTAGTCTTAAATCATTTAAAATCATGTGAATAAACTACTGCTTAAACTAACGATATTTTTTATTGTTAAAATTGGTTATATTATGGTTCCTTTAAAACTCAACCATGCTCATCCTATCTAAACTCATATTTGGTTTTCTTGGTTTAAAGCAGTTTGGTCAATTAGATTTTTTAGAATTCCATTACGATGACAAATTGGTTTAGCTAATTTGAAAACCAACTCAAACACCGATAGGGGCGGACTCAGGTAGGGCCCAAGGGGGAATTACCCACCCTTAAATTCATATTTCTACTTATAGAGAAGTGAAATTTGATTTTTTTCTGCTCCTGAAATATTAATTTTGTCAATAGTGAAATATCGCTTTTCTATTTGTTACCTTAGCCCCTCTCAAGTTAGGTCCAGGGGAGTGGTTTGCCCCCTCTAAAAAAAAAATGGTTCTGCCCCTGACCACCTAATTGCAATGAAAAATAGATAGTATATTCTTGTGTTATAGTATTTTTATATAAAAGATTTTTATACATATCACTAAGTGGTATAACATAAGCCAAATGCATGAAAATTCTAAATTTTTTGTATTTGGTTCGGTGAAAACAGTATGTAGTGTAAAACTTACTTGAAATTTGAATTTATCATGTAGTTTAAAATTTGTGTTCTCCAAATTTATTAGATTTTGATGATTTTCAAATACACTACAAATTACGTTTTATTGTTTTTCCATCGTCATCCACCAAACTATTGTTGTTATCATCTATCACTGCTTTGTCAACCGCTAATGCCCCCTGTCGCTTGCCATCGCCCTTCGCAGGTACTGCCATCAACTGCCCTCCTAAGAAGCACGAATACGGGGACATGGGCACTACATGATATAATATGACCACACAGCATGATCGAAAAAAAAATATGACACAATGTGTCATGGACATTTTTTTATATTTAATAAACTATTAAAATAAATATATATTTTTTAATAACTTTTTCCTAAAGGCATCACAAAATAACAAATGCAATAATTAAAAAATTCCATAATAAAAAATAGTTTTTTGTCGATATCAACATTACATTCAATATATCAAATAATTACCCAAATAAATAATATCAATGTCATTCCTAATAAAATGAAGCAAAATGTCAAAATATAATAATATAATTATCACTAATTAGAGTTCATGCATTCAACACTGGTCTTAACTTCAATGACACATTCATCTTTACAGACAAAAAATATGTTTCTAAGCATGACTCATCAAGAGAAAGATTAACAAGTTCAAGATTAACAAGTCCATAACATTGTAGCTAACGCATTTCAACCAATATCCCTTAATTTTGTGTCCCCCTAAAAATATTATGGGCTTCTCCTGTATAGAAGACATATATTTGTATAAACGAATATCAAATCTTCACCTTGTTATGGAGTGATTTTGTTCCTTTTAAGTGAATTGATAAAATAATATACACTCAAGTTGCTTTTCATAACAAGAGTATGAGCAAATTGAGCAAACAATTTGAAAACTAAATTTTACAGTTACGTGAAACTTGATCCATAAATCAGCCACCGTGCTTTTTTCATAAATAATAACCTTAGAAGCTACAGAGTCATGATCAGTGAAATTACCACTGATTCAAAAAAAATTAGCATAGTCTAAACGAAAAATTAATTTCCCTTCAATATTTGATGAAATCTTCTTTACTCATTTATTTCTCTCAATTAATATCTTCATATCCTTATGTGGAGCAGACTGATTTGGAGCTTAACTTAGTTGAAAGTGAAACATAAATTATCAAATTATTTAAAATTGTTAAATTATTTATATTAGAAAATTCATTTAAATTTTAAATTTTTTTTTTATTTAATTGAAAGGTGTTTAAAACTTTTTAGGGTCAGTGACGTCTCTAAAGACATCTCTAGAAATTTGGAGTTAAGCTGATTTTATTTGAGTTAATTTTACCAATTAATTTTCCTTGATTAAATTTATTAAAATGTTTCAATTAGTTCAATTTTATCCAATAAAATTTTAAGCTTTAATTGCCTCTTTAATTCTCCCTTCTTGATTTAATTCATGAATAGTTATTTTTTATTTTTATATTTATATTTTATTCTATATGATAATAAAAGATTTTAGTCCTTTTTTCCCCAATTCTCTTTATTTTTTCCACTATTTATACAATTAGTGACCAACTAAACCATGCTTTATATGTGTTGTGGTTTAATTCATCGTCTAGATCCATTGAGGGGCTCCTAAACATTGAGATTGAATGGTATTAACATTGCCCATTGTCAGCTATTTTTTTATTTTAATATAAAATTTTAAAATTTAAATTTAATACAATATGTAATGTAATTTTAATTTTGTGAAAATAGTTTTTTTTTGTTTTTTAAAAATGGTGAAACCGGATAAACCTCATAAATCTAATAGTTTAAATAGCTGAGCACAATATCATTAGTGATATATCATCTCGAATGATGAACGTATCACTTATTGGTAAGCTTAACTATATAAACTTAAAAGTTTATGACTCTATTTTGGTTTGCAAAATTTATGGCCAACAAATTCTCCTATCTAATACACAGATTATACATTGTTTAGATTAATATGGGTTCTTAATTCCCTATAGCGGCAATCTCCTATAGTTAATTACATTCAAAATGACGGGGGTCATTTGAGAAAACTCTCAATAATGATCACGGGTTTCGTCTTCAAGAATTCAACGTCTAAGTTTCCACAATTGTTAAAGGAAAAGTCGAGTGTGATAGGTTCAAATAAAAACACTTATTTTCATGATTGAAAGGAGCAAAAGTAGGAAATGTCGAATATACTGAAGAAGATTCAGTGATATCTCAAACTAACCTATGATTTGGCTTTACATCGATTTCCTATGATTTGGCTTTACATCTTTGAAAAGGAAATTATATGATATTTCAGTCCTGCAAGTTATTTAGATATTTGGGGCTTATATCTACATTTCATATATAAATGGCCCGAGGAAATATGAGGATTTATGTCGTACCAAACGATGACATCGGAATCCTAAAAAGTTTAGGACTTATATCATACGATATATAATCGTAAGAAATCCTAAAAGATAATGTGAGGATTTACGTCGTACTAGACGAACAACCTCGACGTCTATGGTTGTATATTATTTAAGTCTATCGAAGCTCGGTTGAAGTTACTTATTTCATCTTCTGTTGTCACTACGACCGTCATCCGAAGATGAATTGTCATTTGTCCGCGTCGTCGTCTCGTTCCGAGAAAATGGATAAAGAAAAGAGAAAATCATGCCGAAAAGAGAAATGAACAATTGTGTAATAAAGTACTGTAACATAAAAAATATGAAGGAAAACTACGAAAGTAAAGCAATATAAATAAAAGAAATACTATGCATTAAAGAAAAGAATATATAGTAAAGAAACAAGACTTAAACAACTAAGTGTACCTGAATAATTATGGCAATGCTACAAAAATATATTAAAATTACATGTTATAAAAGGGTTAGATAAACATTTACATATTATAAAAGAAAAGGTTAAATGATAAGCATATGAAAATTTAAAGTGGGATATCAGCTTTTAATTTAGGGATAGGCTCAGACTAGACTTCTTTCCATTTCCTCGATCCCCCAGGCTACTGATATATCAAAGTCAACTTATCAATATCAACTAGAGGTCACCAACGAATCACCCCTATAAGACCCTGTCATTTAATGGATGTGCGAATCTAAATAGTATATGGATTTATCTTGTTAAAGGTATAATGTACCCATGTGAGAAAGTATCTGAACTTATCGAGGTGTGGTGCACCTATACGTGGTGTTAGGATAAGTAATGCATAGTATCTAAATTTATCAGGGCGTGGTATGTAGTAACTAGACTTTCAAAAGAAGTGTAATACCTATTCTTATAGTATCTATCAGGTAGTGTATAGTGTGAAATATGTGATGTGTTAGTAACAAATGCAAAATCTTTTGTGTAGGGTGTAATGTGTAGTGTCTATTGTGTATCAGGGTATTTGTTGTGTATTATCTAAACTTATCAATTAAAGGTATGTGGTGTATCTATGTATAGTGTATGAAATGTATTATATGATATGAGGAATGTCTATGTGAGTACTATCAAATGTATATATATATTAATCAGTGTATAGTGTCTATGGTGTGGTATTTATCACTTATTAAATGTGGTACCTATCATTTTGTGGATGTGATATCTGCTCCATTTTTGCAAGTGTAGTATTTGTGTAATGGATTATTGTGTATCTGTTCTTTCTAACAACTAATTCTCAAGCATTTTGAAAAAGGCTAGAGCTTAAGGGGTGAAAGGACATCTCGCTAATTGAATATCGATTTTTATATTTTCAGCTATAAGAAAAGCTGATCAATGGTTCTTTGCATCATTGCATGTTGCCCGGCACCTCGAGCTTATAGGCCACCTTAATGTTTCATGTGCTTATCTAATAATTTCCTCTCTGAATGTTTTGTATAATGAAACTAAAAGGGACGAATTTCTAAAAGGTTCGTGTATATAATTGTTTCATGTCACATTTCAGAAATCATATATCCCACTATATCATAACTTCTCA